CGCGATCGATGGAGCCGGCGAAGGGAGCGAAGATGTTCGTGCAGTGGAGGAAGTGGAGGGAGGCGATGGTTCCGGAGGGATCCGTGTGCGAATCGGAGGTTGCGGAGGAGTTGGAAGCGAGGAAGATTTTCTTGCAGGGATCGTCGAAGAAGGGACTGGCCGTGGTGATTGTGAAGGCCAGTAGGCATTTTCCTTCCAAGGATCAACTCCAGTTCAAGAGTAGTTTTGTTTTCTCATCATTTCATCTTCTTTTCTTTTCTTTTCTTTTCAGTTCCAACTTCCAATGCGTGAAAATTTTTCCGCTGTTTCGTTTTCTGTTTTCCAAATTAAAATTCTCACTTCTTTTCTTTTCTTCTCTCTCTTTCTTTCCTTTTTCCATTTTAACTGTTGGAGTGGTTTCCATTTTAATGATTCAATTCCAACCTACAATTGCTAAACCAAAATAATGAAAATTTAAGATGTAAAATATATTTCTGGTCATTTTGAGTCATATCGGTACAAAGAAGATTGAAAAACTTTTAGAAATTGAAGGGTTAAAACAATGCGTAAGTTGCAAATATGACAAAAAAAAAAAAAATTAGTAAAATTAGCAAAGTAGCAGATCCAATTTTAAAATGACAACTTTATCTAAAATAGTATACATCTTTAATATATCTGATTACTAATATATATATGTGATATACATATGATATATTGCAATATGTATATGATATACATCTAATATATTATTGATATATGTGTCTGTGCAATATGTATGTGATATATATCTAATGTACTATTTATATGAGTGTTTGATATACTACTTATATATAATTATTGATTTATTGATTTTAATATCTCATATACTATTAATATAAGTGAATATTTTTACTATATTTAAAAATTTTAAAACTAGATAATATATTTTGAAATACATAAAATTTGCCGAGCATTTTATATAATTTAACCTACCTTTTAAAAATAATATTATTTAAGAAAGTATGAGAGTGGTTAATTAATAGTCACATATTTTATAGTCGTCTATAAATAAATTTCGTTTATTTTTCATTTTTGATAGGTAGGATTTTATAGTTTGTTCATCTGATTTAATCTCCTCTCTCTCTCTTCTATGCAGAGTTTGTGGTTCATCTCTTGGATAAGGTCATTGCAAGGTGACCTACATAATCTCAATCATAATTAACAAAATTAGAATTTTAAATTATTATCCTGTATCCCGTTATTGATTCTTATTATGAATAATCTCAATCTTTTATATATATATATATATATATATATATATAGTCATAATGTATTTCTAAATTATCATTATTTTTTTACATTTCTGAAAACGATTTATTATATAGTTTTTTAAACATGTCAGATAAGATGCTACCTTCAATTTCAATTCCTTACCCTTTTTCTATAAATCTGAAAATATATTGCTATAAATGAAGACCTTATTTTTATTTCTATGCTTTAATTTTCTCTGATAATTTCATGGGTTAATTGAAAACTACTATTTTACAACCATTTTGTTTGTCTTTTATCAATATTTATTAAAAAAAATACTTTTATTTTTAGTTTTTTTATTTGTTTTTTTTTTAAATAAATTTTGAATCTAAGTTATAAAAACAGGATCATATTTTTTTAACACTACTCTTTTCTTTTACTTTTTTATATTTTGCTATAATTTTTAAATTGTATTAAACTATATATTACACATAAAATAAATTAGCTTTGAAAAAAGAACATGTGGGACAAGACAAAATGGTTTCCAATAAAATTTTCTGTTTTTTTTTTAATTTCTAAATAATGTTATCGAAATGTTTTTCAATAGTAACCTTAAAAATAATAATAACAATAATAGTAACCGCTATTGAAAATTAAGTAAAAAATTCAAAAACATTTATTTTTAAAAATGGAAATGAAATTTTTAAGAGGAGAAAAATAAAAGTAAAGATTTTTATATATGGACAGCGGTTGCAAAGGAAGAGAAATTGGGAATGAAAAGTGGATTGCCATTGTTGATCTGCATCAAATCTCATATAAGAATGTTGATCCACGTGGCCTCATCACAGGGTTTCAATTTTTACAGGTATCCGCTAATTTTTATTTTTTATTTTCCAAAATATTACATTTATACGTTTGGGTCAATTAAGACCTGTCTGTTGACCATTCGATTCTGTTTCTTTTGTTTTCTGATTTACTGAATATTTTTTTCAAATTGTTTTCGGATGATCAAAATAATGAAAATTCTGAAATAATATTTTTATGTTTATGATTTTGAATTTGATACTAAAAAATGTAAAATTATATTAAAAACAATACAAAAACGTTGGTTAAGATATCATTTTATTTTATAAACTCATTTATTCGTTTTAAAATTAAAACATGAAAATATAATATATTATAAATTATATAATATTATAAAACAATAATTATCCAAAATTTATAACATAAATGTTAATAAATTAATAAATATTATTTTATATTAAACTAAATATTTACTTTGTAATTTCTACTTGTTTACAAATATATTGTTAAACAAACGCTGGATAATTTTTTAAATTGAGATTCAATTTATCTAAAAATACTAAGATAAAGAATACAATAATGTTTTTCTATTAAATCTCTTGTTTTTAGATTTTTTATTTTTTGATCATCAATCAAACGCACTTTTAAAAACTTAGGGATTAAATAGAACCATCCTCCAAATCTCAAGACCAAAAAAATAATTTATCATATAATTTTCTTTATATAATTTTAAAATTTTTACTAACATACCTCTATTTCTCTACTTTATACTTGTAACATAATATTCTTTAAAAAAAAAACAAAGAAAGAAAGAAAGAAAATAAACTATAAATTTTAAAAGTTCTTTCAATTTCAGCTGTATTTTTTAGTTTCGATGTTTATATTTAAGGAAAAACCAACTTTTTACCTAAACGTTTGATTTCACTCCACTAAATCTTAGACTTAGATAAGTGTGGTAAATTTTTTTCCTCAATAAGTATTTATTCTCCGAAAAATAATTTTTTTTTTCCTTTTTCAAGTTTTACCAAGGTAAGAATTCGATAGGATATGTATGTAATTTTCTTTTTTAGGGTGAGAGTTATATTCAAATTAACATTAATTTTACATTTAATAGTTGTTAACATTTTATATGTAATATATTTTAAATATGTTGCAGAACTATTATCCGGAGCGTTTAGGGAAGTGCTTCATTTTAAACATGCCATGGTTTTTTGTTAGCATTTGGAGAATGGTTTCTCGGTTCGTCGATAGTGCAACGTTGAAAAACGTAAGCCGTTCCTATTATTTCATCTCATTTACTTTTCTTTCAATTAACCGTTCTATTTAGTTAAATTACACAATGTTGTTATGCTTATTTTGTTTTAATTTGGTCTCATTTAAAAATCTTGATTTAGTCTATAATTTGAACTTCATTTTATTGTGTGACTCTCCCTTTCATTTACCATTTTAAAGTTTAATAAAAGTTAATATATTTATTATCATCTTTGAATATTATTTTAGAAAATAGGAATAAAATTTTTAAAAAATTCTATTTATTTTCAAATTTAAATATTATTTTGGTTCCATTATTTTGACTTTGGTTAATTTTCGTTCGAGTACTTTTAGAACTCCTATTTTAGTTCACCTACTTTCAATTTTTTAATTTTATTTTTTTGTCTATTTTAATCCGTATACTTTCAAAACATCTTATTTTGATCTTTAGAACTTTTGAAACATTGTCATTTTAGTCTTTTCATTTTATTTTTTATCTCATTTTTTCAACACAAATTTCAGTATGATATCACTAGCCATAAATTTTTATTAAAGAATTTTTTAAGTGTATAGTATTTGTGTATAAACTTTGCAAACAAATACCAAAATTTCAGCTTTAGTTTCTGTAATCTCAATTTTTATTCATTTTAGTTATCGTACTCTCAACTTTCATATATTCTAATTTAATTATTATAATTCTAATACATCTGTTTATGATTGAAACTGAAAAGTATAAAGACTAAAATAGTATTTAAATCTACTTTTCCAATTCAATTATATATTTAGTGTATGTATGCATGATTTATATGCGCATAAACACTGATTTTCAGATTCTAATTGTGAGCAATGAAGAAGAAAGAAGAATTATGATAGAGGAAGTTGGAGAAGTATTGCCTGTCGAGTATGGTGGAAAGGCAAAGCTTATTGCTCTTCAAGATGCTATCATAATTCCTCACTTGGATGCTTAATAATTTAATGTTAGGGAAATTAAATTAGCTCCTCTCTCTCTCTGTCTCTCTCATGGATGTTTTTATGTTGTAAAATTTGTTTCTATCTCTTCAAAATGGTCATTGTGAATTGCAACCTTCAATAATCAAACTTGATCACTGACCCAACTCCATAGCAAAAATAGGTTCGATGTTTGAATAATATTTAGGTGTTTATCGTTCGGTATTCTTTTTTTTTTTACTAAGTACCATTAATGTTTTTTACAAATAGGAGAGTAGAGCAAGATGATATATTTTCTATTTTTAAAAAATAAAGAGATGTTAAACTTTTAGTGGTAGTCAGCAGAAAAATAAGTGTTGATCGATCGGTAAGTACTTATAAGTATTGTTCCTAGAGTTCTTAATTTTTTGTTGTACTTTGAAGCATTTCTAATTTGAAATGAAAAGTTCTCCCAAATTTCTCGAGAATTATAGATGGGGATTACAATTCTTGGAACTACAATTCTCGAGAACAAGGATGGAGAAAGCATCCCTAACTCCACCCTGCAAAAATATGTTCAAGAAGATTCTGCAAAAATAGACGTGAAAAAAGGGGTCGAGAGAATAAGAATGTGCGAGATTTTCATGCTAAAAGTCGTTGGATGGGGTCAGGTGTTGGTTCAAACTATTAAAGATAGAAGTTTTTAGGAGTTTTCTTTCAAGCTTTCTTGTCCATACATACTGCCAAATGTACCAAACAAAGAACAACAAACTTAAACAAAGATCACAATTTAAGGAGCATTAAACACAACGAGCTAGTAAAGTTGGTTGATTATCAACTTAAAAGTCTAACTAGCTAGCTTTGCGTGGAAAATACCGAAAATGTGATCAGAGTCCAACATTAGTTAGATAAGGAAAGATCCACGATATATAAACATACTACAAGATATGCATTTTCAACAAACGATTGGGGTAATATAATTGATGAACAGATTGTTGGATTCTGCAAACTATTCCAACGAAATATTAAGCAGTGAAATGGAAAGCGTCACTCGTAGGGAGTTCAACGACAAAAATATGAATTTGCCATGTGATAAGACCTTCTCGATGTAACAAAAAAGCAAAGTCAAAGCGGTCAATATTACATTATCGTAGAAATAATGCATAGAATCTTGTTGGAACTCAATCTCTATCTCTATAAATGTGATGTCATGCATAATTGTAGATATTAATATTTTCACCTTTTCTTTTTTTTTTTTCCCTCAAGTCTTAATGGGCCTTAGAGATATGGGACTTCCACATGGGTTGAAAAACCAACCACACAAACTTGGAAGAAAGAAGGTTTTCTAGCCTACCTAATAAAGAAAATTTTTCCTAACATTGAGAAAAAAAAACATTGTTGGAAATTTCTTTTAAAAATATATAAAAAAAAATAGCATCTATTTAATTAAGAAAAAATTCTAGTATATATCAAATGTGATTTTAGGTGCTTACCGTTCAGCACAAATCTTCTTGTTGGTCACTGCAAATTTTACAACTCTTTATTTAAAATAAATACAAAAGATATCTTTTTTTTATTCCTCTCTCCTATTTATAAAAAATTTAAAGGTGCAGTAAGAAATAGCTGCTGACCGGTAAGTATCTAAATATTGTTCTTAGGTATATCCGATGATTCGTACTGAATTTATCGAAATTTGAAATAATATCGACCATTTATCATTAGAAATATGCTTTTACTTTTACTTATTGAAATAAAGAATGAAAAAGTTTTAAATAAGCCAATCTTTTTAATGATACATATCAAATTGTCGATATATAGTATGAGAAACATCCTTCACACTTTCATAATATCATCCAGCATCATTGTTGTAGTCCAAGTTAAAATAAGGTTGAAATACGATTTTGTCCCTATTTTTTGAGTGTTAGTTAGCTTTGATCGGATCCAAATCTTTTGTTTTAGTTCTTATACTTTCATACTTTCAACTTTTTGTTTATTTTGGTTCATATAGTTTCAAAACGTATGTTTTGGTTTCTATACTTTCAAAAAGTTACTGTTTTGATCTATGTTTACAAAGTTCTAACACAAATTCTATACATAATAGATACCTTTCAATACAAAGTTATGATTACATTTCATGAAATTTATTAATTGCAGTGTTGTGCTGAAATTTTGATTAAAGAAAATAAAGGGATGGAAATTATCACTTTTTAAAATAAATGACCAAAATAAACATTTTGAAAGTACAAAGATTAAAATGACCAAAATCGAAAGTACATGGCCTAAAATAGACCATTGTTGAAAAATATAGAAATAAAAATGAACGTTTTAAAAATATAAAAGTCAAAATAAGACCAGAATAGTATATTAACTTTAAAATTGGAATAGCTATATAACTTCATCTCGGTAAACAACATTTTGCTTTAAAGTAAACTATAATGGAAAATGGGAAGGACACGAGGCCATACATAAGGGACCTCCTCATCAAAACGCTGTAGATATAACCGTTATATCTACACTTTAATTCATTAATTCATCTTAACATATAGTCTCGCTAATAATACTTATACGAGACAAACTTTTCGAGAACTATGAGTCAAAATCGTTAAATTCAAGAAAACACGCCAGATAAGAACACAAATTTATGGACCATAAAATTTTAGTCATGTCAAAATCAATCAATTAAGCTCGAATTTGGTTGATGTCAAATTTAATATAACTTTAATTACATAATGTAACAGGACCTGTAGAAATATATTAAGTGAATTTTTTTAAGTTAAAAAAATTATCATATAGATTTTTTTTAAAAAATTAATTTTCCAATTAAAAAGTCTACCTCTATTCATTTAATATTAATTTTACCATCTAAGATTAAAAGTTGGTTTGTTCTTTACGAAATTGCCTAAAAATTTATCTTGAAACTATTAACTATCCATAATTTCAAATGAGTTTTGATTTTGAACCTTAAGAATCACTTCGTATACAATTTATTCTTCCCCTCTATAAATTAGGGTTCATTAATTTGTTTCAAAGTTTCTTGTCAAATCAATAACTTCATTTAATTCTAAAGTTGACTTTTTTAACCGTTTTATATATATATATATTTTTTTTTCTCGTTTCTCGTTTTATATTTTTTAATAAGGATAATTATTTATCGTTTCTTTATTTTTTCTTTTTTATTGAAAAATTGGAAAACATCTTTGACAACTATTGTTTATTTTGTAGGTAGTCGCAAATATAGTAAAAATATTTAGTAAAATAAGTAGAATAGCAACTACATTTAATTATTTCAAATATAGCATTTTTTTAAACAAAAACTGTGATCCAATTTTAAAATTACAACTTTACCCTGCAATATATATGATATACATCTCAATATATCTGACTATTGATATATGCCTATGATATACCACTGATATAATAATTATATACAATTGATTTACTTATGATATATCTATGATATGTACTGAACTTCTAATATGACTTATCACCGATATGCGTATGATAACCATTAATTTACCATGTTGATACAACATTTTATCTGTGATATATACTTGATATGTCTCTAATTTATCATTGATATACAAATGATATACCACTGATATAGCTTCTTATATATGATTATATGATTTATTACTAATATAACATTGATATATATTTGATATATACTTAATATGTTTCTAATTTACCACTGATATACCTCAGATATAACCATGATATCTACTAATATAATTATGATACATGTGTGTTGATTATAATACTATTATATCCATTTTTTTTTCAAGTTAAACATAAAGTTATTGTATAAAAGGTTCATGTGGATCATGCACGTCAAAAAAAAAGTTAGAAATCTAATATACTTTATAAATTTAAACAATTATATCTCTTATATTTAATATCTAATTAATATTAATATAGAATAAATAGTAGTAATACACTAATCAACGTTATTGATGATATTAGTATGTCAATCAACAAATTGCAATGATAAACTAGAATTAGAATTTAAATAACTGATATACCACTAAAAATTAAACATTTGATATACCTTATATTTAATATATAAGTTGCAAATATATTTAAGATATCATAAATTAGAGGTACATCAGATAGATAGATAGATATATAATACATACATCTGATAATGTATATCATGGGTACACCTGATAATGTATATCAGGAGTACATCGAATGTATATTGGAAGTACATCAAAGGTACATCAGATGTATATCAGATACAAATATACATTGGATTAATATCAAATACAGATATATATTCGATTTATATCATATACAAATATACATTGAATATATATCAGATATCATAAGGGTAAAATCAGAATAATAAAAATTTCAAAAATAAAAATTCAAATATTTTGCTATATTTGAAATTTTGAAATTTTGAAAAGCTGATGACATTTTTTGAAATATATGAATTATTTTTGCTACCCACTACAATTATCCTATTTCTTATCCTCTAAAATTGTCAATAAAAAAATTAAAGTGATAAAAAAGAAACTTGATTTTGTTGTTTTCAAAGTTTTTACCTAATTTTGGGAACATTTCTAAAAAAATGAGAAATAAGAATGAAAAGAATTATAAAACACATATGTTTTGAACCGGGATGAGTCCCAAGATGGATTCCAGGAGGATGGTCTTTCTGGATACCATCTCGGTCTTCATCCCGGTCTATTTCGAACCGGGATGAGGCCCGAGATGGAATCCAGAAAGTCCATCCTTCTGGAATGGACTTTTAGGGTTTCATCCCGATCCTAAATCCACCGGGCTTAAAGCCGAGATGGAACCCTGAAAGTCAAAAATTAAAACAAAACAATGGAAGCAACAATAAATCAAACTTCATAATAACCTTGGCTACTTCAGATAGAGCCGAAGGTTGAAATCATTCACACCCACGCAAAGAACGAAGAAAAAAAAGGTAGAAAATCATTCACAATAAGATCGCGAGTTCAAAAGAAAAATTACCTCAATTAGGGAAGGGGGAAAGCTCTGATAGAGACGAAGTGAGGGAGACGAAGAAGAAACGACGAAGATGAACTTTCTGGTTGTGAGGGAGAGACCGAGATGAAAACTGTGATGGACAACGAGATAGTGAATGAGGGAGGGGAAGGACCGAGACAGGGAGGGAAAGGAGGGGATGGCTGAGTTTGATTTCTTTTTTTAAATTGAGGGTAAAATTTACCAAGCAAAATAAGGGGAGGGTCAGACATTTGTGGAGGGATATAAATAGATAAAAATCAAAAGGGAGCCAAAAATACAAAGTAATTATTGGAATGGGTCAAAAATCCCAATTTCCGAAATCTCCGTGAGAGATAAATACTCACCAGTTTGTCTTCTATATACACACACACAGTAATTTGGAATATTTGAGAAGAAAATGGCGTGAAAGACCGATTGAGTAAGCGTCAAAGACCCAAGCAATCGATTTGGAATATTGGCGAAGAAAATTCCAAATAGTTCATGGCCGCTCACTAGTTTCACCGCAACAAAGTCCACTCAATCCGCCAAATTTCGCCACTGGTGATACCCCTTTCCCATTTCTCTGCGTCTACTGTTCAAAATCCCCCTCTTTCTCTCTCTAATTTCTCTATTTCTGTTGCGTAATTTTTGTTTTTGGTGAAGTTTGTCGCTGTATTCTATCGGTAGTTAGAGATTGATAGAATAAGTTCGTGTTGATTCGGTTGTAGTTGAGGCCGATCGTCTTGTTTTTTCTGATAATCGAGCGGAAATGGAGAATACTCAGCAGATTGTAGTGGCTCAGATGAGGAGATTAGTGGAGGAGCATGGGGTTCCTACAGAAGTAAGGGTTCTTTGTTTTTTGAGATTGGAGTGTTGATGGAGTGAGTGATGGAATCTTTGTTTGCAGAAGTATGGAGAGCCGACGATGATGAGGTTTTTGATCGCGAGGTCGATGGACCCGGAGAAAGCAGCTAAGATGTTTGTGCAATGGCAGAAATGGAGGGATACGACGGTTCCCAATGGGCGTATTGATGAATCGGAGATTAAAGATGAACTGGAAGCGAGGAAGATTTATTTGCAGGGTTTGTCGAAGAATGGGCACTCTGTGATGATCGTCAAAGGGAACAAGCATTATCCTGCCAAGGATCAAGTTCAATTCAAAAGTGAGTTGGTCCTTAAATTTTCACTCGTTTGAACTGATTTTGTGAATCTTGAAATTGATCAATTTGGTTTGGTATGAAGTTTTCTTGCTTCTGATTGGAATTTTTCTTTTGGGTTCTGTTTTGAATTTGTTAGCCCGCCCTAGAAAATGTTTAGATAGATTTCCAAAATGAGATTCTCTTGGGGCCTTGAACAGTTCCACCATGTTTTGACTCTCTGTTTCTCTAACAGAAGGAAAAATATTCTTGAATTTGGGTTTGTTTCTTTTATTAATTAAACTTTATATATATATAAAAATAAGAAAAAGGTTCCAACTCGCTTTCTATCTGACATAACTTCAAGAATAGCTTAAACTATACCATTCTACTTCTTGAAAACGCATAATTATAAAATAATGGCTAAATTTCCTCTTGAAGATGAGGCTTCACTGCACATCTTTGGAATGAAGTTCTGAGGGATATGTTAGTTTAAGAATCATTTTTCTAAATTTGTTTGGAGACTGTTTTCCTAAAATATTGTTTGGATGACTGTTTTTGAAATTGTTTTTTCTTTTTTTAGTATGTTATTTGTAAGTGACTTTAATTTTTTAAAAGTGAAAATTGTTACTCCTTCCAGATTGAGATTATGAATAGTTATTTCAATCATACAAACACAATTATCAGAACACTTCTTGAAAAATTACTTTCCAAAGTAAAACTCCAAAACTCCAAGAAAACCACGCGAATGTGGACCATGCCTGCCTCTTTTGTGGCTTTCTCTTCCAGCTCTCCATGTCAATATGATTTCCATTTTTTGAGGGTTTAATTGCATTTTGAGATTTTTTTTTCTTCAACAGTGTACGTTTGTGCATTTAATTCAATGAAAACTTGGACATACTTGCCTTTCACCTGAAAGGAAACATTCTTAAAATTTCATCAAACAATAAATGCAAGCTTGTAACATAAAGCAAAAGGTTTCTTTTTATGCCAAATGTTATAGAAGTTAGAAGGTTATCCCGTAAAATCAGTTGAGGTATATATAAATCGTAGTTATAAAATGAAAAAAGACAAGTAAAAGGCATTAGGTAACTTTTGTTTTTTTAGTTCAACATGTGAGAGTAGGATTCGAACCTCCGACCTTTTTTGGTCAATGATATATGTAGGCATCAGGTAATTGATATTATCTAATTCACTTATTTTCATTTCTTATCTTTATGCAGAGTATGTGGCTTATTCCTTGGACAAGATAATTGCAAGGTTCCACTCAATCTGTACTAACTCCATGTGTTCAGAACTTTTGCAAATTATCTAACTTTGGAATTAGTTACTATTTTGACCCTATATTAAATGCCATATGCCTGCTTTGTTCCTCTTATTTTCCTCTCATGTGAAGAATATGATTCCATAACTTACTCTTGCTGCAAAATCAAGATCAATTCTATCTTGGGAAGTCAAGTGAGAGCTTGTTTGGTGTTTGTGCTGCCTGTTACAGTGCTTTCCAAGGAAGAGAAATTGGGAATGAGAAGTTGATTGCCATTCTAGATCTGCAGCAACTTTCATACAAGAACATCGATCCACGTGGATTGATCACGGGCTTTCAGTCTTTGCAGGTGAGTTCTACATTCTTATTGGATAATAATCGATAGCCTTGGAATGTAGTTTGTCGACATGGTACAGAGATTTTATTTTTCCTTTATGTCTATAGCTTTGAACTTGTAAGGACAAAAATTTTGTTCCTGTAAAGCCACGTGAGAAAATTTCTCTGGTTATTGCCTATGAATTTTTTGTGGACTGGCACAGGATATCGTTCTTTGTAAAAGAAAACCAAAATCATTGTACCACTAGAGTAAGCATAAGCAATATATTAGATGATTCTTCTTGTTTGCTGTTTGAAATTACTCAATTACCTGCTTTCTTTTCCAAACCAAACCGGAAATCGTTTTGACAGTTGAAAGTTTATGATTGATGTTTATCTGTGTCTCGGAGACAGAGGCAAATGTGGTTAAATTTAATCGTTTAATCTACACTCGCATGTGAGTTTGGATAATTATTTGATTAAGGTAGGTCAATACATATATTATTAATGTGAAATAAGTGATGGAAATAACTTACAAATAGTGAACTTAGGGTCTACTTCAGTGTACCATATCAAACCATATTACTAAACCTAAAAACTCAAGCTATTAGATTAGATTAAATTTAATCATTTAATCTAATCTTATTGCTTCGAGTCATGGCTAGATGATTGTCGAGCTCCAAAACTGCCCTGAAGTTCATTTCCTTTTCTTCTTTTTTCCCTCATAAGCATGACAAGTTTTGATTGTTTTGTCTTCTCTAATGCAGGCTTATTATCCTGAACGCCTGGCAAAGTGTTACTTCTTACACATGCCGCGGTTTTTTGTTAGTGTGTGGAGGATGGTTTCTCGGTTCCTCGAGAAGGCAACTCTTGAAAAGGTATGTGATCTCTATGACAATGTTCCAGCAAAACCACGTCATGATTTAACTATGTGTGCTAACTAGTAAATCCCAAGAAGTACAGACACGAACGTGTCAGATACTGGTTTGCACAATAAATGTGCATCAAACACCAATACAAATAGAATGAGTCCAAGATTCAAACACTTATTAGGGACATAAACGTATAAGTTTATTGACTTAAAAATTTTAAATGGTATAAAATGATGTATATTTCTTAAGAAATGTATATTTAATAATCCTTGTCTTGTCTCTGTCCTGACCTATATTTTTAAAAAACGACGTACCATATCACCATGTCTTATGTCTGTACCTATGCTTAGAGTAAATTTATTGAAAATTTTATCTCACCTTTCTTTTCCGTTGTATCTTTTAGTTGATTGTGATTGGCAACCTTGATATTTAGTGAATTAACTTTTTCTTAGTTAAGCAATATGATGAGCAAAACACCTAGTTGACAAATACTTCGGGTCTCTTAGTCATACTAGGTCTCTTAGTCATACTAGCTTAGAGGTTTCAAGTTCGAACCTTCTGATGAGTTTAATATAAAAAATCTTTGATGTCTCCTGGATTTGGGCGTTGGGGCGGGCACAAGTGTCCTTAGATATAGGGGATCAAAGCTCGTTATTAAAAAAAAATATATATATATGATTAGAAAAACACACTTCTTCCCAAGTTTCTTAGATGATTTATGTAAAATTAATGACATGATTGAAAAATGAATATTGATATGATGACCACCAACCTGAGCAAAATTCAATTGGTCAAGACATTTCAAACGTTCAAATTTTAGCAGTATTCCTCCACGTGAAGGTAGCACACAAAGGGAAGTTCGAACAGGAACCTTTTTTGAATTATTTAATGTTAGAGAGGGTATGTATTTTGATGACTTGTGGATTGTGATCGACTGAAAATAATGATTCTCAGATTGTGATTGTGAGCTGTGAAGAAGAAAGGAGAAGTATTATAGAGGAAATTGGAGAAGAAGTGTTGCCAGTTGAGTATGGTGGAAGGGCAAAGCTTATTGCTCTTCAAGATGTTGTCCTTCCTCACTTGGATGCTTAATTATGTTGGGGAAATTTTAATTAACTGTTGTGTCAGCCTTAAATGCCACGTGTCACTGTATCAAACTATATATGTACACACATATGAGCTCCAATGAAATTGTTTGAGCTAATTCAGTACCTAAAGTTAGCAATTAGCATAGCTTTTAATCTCTAATTGGAAAATTCTAATTTAATGCTACTTCGTCTTTCCCTTAGTAAGTCGTCTAGTTGATATGGAGAATATAGGATGAATTACAATCCATTCCTCTATCTAAGTGATTTTTGCTTCTTATTTACGTTCTTAACTCTTCCTTGATTAGTTCGCAATGTTTGGCACTTTCCATGTTTGATGTTTCGTGGACATGATATTATTACAACTTAAGAGCTATAACCATATTATGTTTACTGTTTGTATTTCGATCATTCTATCGGTGTGCTCCTAGGTACTTGTAATTTTGATTTGTTTGTCAAAATTAAGGGGTCTTTTTGTAGAAACCTACACGAACAATATGATGCCTAGCATCGGAGAGTTTGCCTCTCTCATACAAGTTATTCCTTGTGTGAGCGCTCAAGCTATTTTTCCAGCAAATTTTTTAACTTAGATAGTGAGAGATTTCAACAATTTTTCATACAGAAGTTTTTTTTTCTTTTTTTTTAGTACAACATGTTGGGAGGAGGATTCGAACTCACAACCTCTTGGTTGGAAGTAAATACTCAGCTTTGACAAATCAATTAAAATCTCTAACCTATAAGTTCACTTCAAAATACAATTCTAGAAATATTATGTCCAAGATTTTTAAAAACTACATTCAAAACACACATTGGATTGCCAACTCTGGCAAAAAACAACTTGCCAAAAACGAGGGGCCAAAAAGAAAAAAACATCTCATATCAAGCACTTTATTTTACTACGTTACAAAACAATTTACATTAACATATTAGATTTAAATATTATTTTGGTTCGAGTATTTTTAACTTTGATTTATATTAATTACTTTGATGTCTTCATTTTTATTTCTATCTCACTTTTTCAATCATAATTTTAACATGGAACTTCATTCAATATATTTTTTAAAATAAATCCATAAATATGTGTTAAAAGGATGTCTATGGTATAAAAGTTGTGTTAAAATTTTACAAATAAATATCAAATTGGTTGCTTTAAAAAATGCAGAGATCAAAATTGGCATTGAAAATACAATAAACGTGTTTCGAGAGTACCCAATCAAAATTAAGAGAATAAAAAATAGTATTTAAAACAATATATTAATTGTCCAATTAAATTAAGTTGGCGAAAAGAGAAATACTAAAAAAAATTTATAAATACCACCTTAGCTTGGCACCAAGAGATCCTGGTTTGAGATGTCTCGTAGAAAAGAAATACAAATATAAATAAAATGAAAATGTTGCAAATCCTAAAGCAGTGTTCCAGTTTCCTGTGATATTCAGTGGGTACAGCGGCCGCCTCCGACACCCATTGAAAGCTCTCTCACTCTCTCAACAATGGCGGCTCTAGCTCCCTGCCGAACCACCTTCTTCTTCTCCGCCGCCTCTCCTCACCCTAAACCAGCTCGCATCTCCAGAGTTGTTCGTATGGCGTATCAGGAGAACGCGCCCTCTCTCGCCGTCGTCGGCGTCACCGGCGCTGTCGGTCAGGAATTTCTCTCCGTCCTCTCCGATCGCGGATTCCCCTATCGCTCCATTAAGATGCTGGCCTCGAAGCGCTCAGCTGGAAAATCCGTTCTGTTTCATGGGGAAGAGCATATTGTTGAGGAGCTCACCGCGGATAGCTTCGACGGCGTGGACATTGCTCTCTTCAGCGCTGGAGGATCCATCAGCAAGCAGTTCGGACCTCTCGCCGTCAAGAAGGGGACGATTGTGGTCGACAATAGCTCCGCATTTCGGATGGACGAGGAGGTGCCTCTTGTGATTCCCGAGGTTAATCCCGAAGCTATGAAGGGGATTAAGGTTGGGATGGGCAAGGGCGCGTTGATTGCTAACCCTAATTGCTCCACCATCATCTGCTTGATGGCTGTCACTCCTCTGCATCGTCACTCTAAGGTTTCGAAGTCGATTTTCATTTCATTTTCTTGTTTATGTCTCCACTTCTGGGAATGGTACACAATTTGAATCTAGGTTTAAGCTTTTGTGCAAATGGCACACAAATTGTTTTTAACTTACAAAATTTGCCTGCCTTTTGCTATTACATTATTTTGTGTTTTTCTGCTAAAAAGAGTGTTCGAAGACAGCAGCAGCCATTTCCTTCTTGGGGTGAAAAAGTGCTTTTGATAGAAATCACTTTTGAAATTTGAAGTACTGTTCAGTGCTTGTCTTACGAGCCTTTTTAAGTGGCTTTTCAGTGGTTTTAATATTTTCAAAATCATTTCAAACTTTGAAAAGTGTTTTTAATGTGCTAAAACTATGGAACCTAATTTGATTAGTTGGATCAATGGGTGTTGAAAATGGCAGGTGGTGCGCATGGTTGTTAGTACATATCAAGCAGCCAGTGGTGCTGGTGCTGCAGCAATGGAAGAGCTTGTGCAGCAAACTCGTGAGGTTTCTTCCGTTTATTGTATCTCATAATCTGGAATGGATTGCATTTGCTTGTCATCTTATGTTTTGGATGGTCTAATAGTCTATTTCAATGGCTGTTCTAAAATGTTTCTCTTCTCTTCCCTTTTCTCAAGGTCCTGGAAGGAAAGCCACCAACTTGTAATATATTTAGGGATCAGGTCAGTCTCTTGTACAGGGCTCTTATCTTCATGTTTCTTTCTTTGAGGGCCAAGTTTCTATTGCAATTTTCTCAGTTTCTTCTACTTGGTGCAGTATGCTTTCAATTTGTTCTCCCACAATGCATCTGTTCTTTCAAATGGATACAATGAAGAGGAAATGAAATTAGTAAAAGAGACTCGCAAAATATGGGTGAGTGAAATACGGATGCCGCATACGTTCTGACCTTTCATTTACACAATTTTTGTGGATCATTTTTGCTTGGAAATTGGTTAATGGAATCCTGTCTTGCACTAACTGACTTGTTTTACGTCTCTCAAGAGTGATCCAAATGTTAAGGTTACTGCGACTTGTATACGAGTTCCCGTCATGCGTGCACATGCTGAGAGTGTAAATCTTCAATTTGAGAATCCCCTTGATGAGGTAAGATTTAATTCTGGTATTATTTTGATCAGTTCTAGTGTATTGTGCTTGAGAATATCTATTAATTGCTAGGCCTACAGATTTCCTTTTGGCCTTTTTCTTATTCTACGTTAAGAATGAGATGATTTCGAAAAGCATTTTCCAGGCGAGTGCCTTCAACATGGTGCTCGCCAGGGTGCACCATTTCTTGCCATTTAGCGCAATTGCCATAAGGCGAGGTGAGCGCCTATAACATAGGCAACAAAGAAAATGTCGAAGGAGAAAAATAATCATGAGAAGAAGATTAAGAAGAAAAATAAAAAGAAGAAGAAGAAGAGATTGAGGAGGATAACTGGAAAAGAATAAAAAGAAGAACGGTGAAAAATAATAATATGAAGAAGAAGAATTAGTAGAGTCCAAAGATTAGGATAAAAAAGAAAAAGTATAAGGAGAATGGGAAGAAAAGACAGAAGCGGAGAAGGAGTAACGTCAAAGCACTAAAGGCTGCTAGCAGCATGCTGCATGCTGTATGTCTCCTCCATGATTTACAGATGACAACCTTTCTCTTCCAATAAACATAGGTCTAGTTAGTGTGACTAACAAATGGCATTATTTAAATCTTGTTTAAATTTTTAGGCATAGGTTCATAGCATAGTTATTTATAATATTTAAAAAAAAAGATCTCTCTACCTTTTTTCTGAATATATCCTTTTTTTTAATTATGTCAGTTAATTTTTATTTAAATATTAAATAGTTTGGTTGGTTTTCATGTTTTAAAAGTTGAGTATTTATTTATTTTTACCTATTATAGTTATATATAATATTTATTTAGTATTTTATTAATTTCGTCTTGCTTCACTCAAGCAACACCTTTTTGTTGACTCTTGCTATTTTTGTTGACTATTGCTGTGGGGTGATAAGAATAGGGTGTGCTTTGAAAATACTGGCATACTTTTGAATGAGGAATACAACACTACTTCAGTTGTGAAAATAGCATCTTAAAACCCCAAGAGGTAGCTCTGTTGACAAGGCCTAAGGGTATGGAATATTTGGAGATGCCCTTTAAGGGTCTGGGTTCAATCTTCAAGGGAGAAGTTTAATAATTTAGAAATTTTGGTGTTTTTGAGTTGGATTTAGATGCATACTTAATCTCGTCATTTGAAATGCGTTAGCTTGAGTAGCTAGTTAGCTGGTCGGTTGGCTGGTTGGGAAGGATATTCTGAAGGGGTAGAAGTCATTGAAGTTGTAACTGGCGCAATAGAGACTTAGACGTCTCGAATAGTATAATAATTTTGTGCTCACTCTCTTCCCTGCCAGTTTTGAGCTCGCAGCCTTCCCACCCCTGCTTAGCGTTCCACTTGTGAATCGATTAGCTTCCGATACCCTCAATTTTAGATGCTAAAAGAACTGGTAATTTTAGATAATGTTCCAAGTTGAAAACTATCGGCATTTCTCTTGCACAAGTAGACTTTATGGTGATGATAAAGTTTTAAAATAAATTGTCTGTTTGGGAAATTTCATTCTTTTCTTTTGTTACTGGTTATGCTCATGGCCAGATTCTTTAAATCTGATATTTGTTGTTCTCTATCCTTGGAATTTGTTCTCATTATTGGTTCTATGACCCCACAAATTGCCGTTGAATTCAAGATCATCTTCAGTCCAGCATGAAATGTATCCGGTTCTTAAAATTAATCGAAAAATTTACTTTTCACGTAAAGATATCATTCCTTCAAAATACAAATCAGAAGTTCTGTATTATTACTTAAAATATCATTCCTTTTTCTCTTTGATAAGAAACGATTATGATCACTTAAAATCTCTGAATTCCACTTTGATTACATGAATCCTTCTCTATAGAAGTTGTAATTTGCATTAGTAAAATCTTTTAACCATTTGATATGTTAGTAATCAGTGATTCTAGTTATAAAAATATCATTTACGAACTGTGCTCAAGCTGTCTCTTCTGTTTTATGCAGGACGCAGCCAGGGAGATCCTGAAAAATGCTCCTGGAGTGGTCATTATCGACGACCGGGCTGCCAACCAGTTTCCGACGCCACTGAAAGTATCAAACAAGGATGACATTGCAGTTGGGAGGATTCGACGGGATGTCTCACTAGAAGGAAATAAAGGGTACGTAAGACTGACTTGTCTATCCATAGTTCTTTGTTTATTTCCTGTTCGAAGAATAAAAATGAAACCAATGGGGTTCTTTTTATGCATGCAGGTTGGATATCTTTGTCTGTGGCGATCAAATTCGCAAGGGTGCTGCACTTAATGCTGTTCAGATCGCCGAGTTGTTACTGTAGTCCATCCCATCCATTGCAGACAATCGGTATGTTGCAAGACGAAGTCTTTGTTGTTACCATTCATGATATCATAGGATGTCTCTTGAGGCGAAAATTCCTCTCTCGATCATGGTATCCATAACTTAGATCAAATTTTGCAGGACAATCGGTTATTAAGCTTATGAGTTTGCATTTAGATCTCTTGCTTGAAGGAAAATTTTGGAAATGATGCTGTAAGTTATTTACAATGAGCCAGTTTGATGCTTTGTTTTGAATTTGTTGGTAATAGTTTGTGTTAAACATGGATGCAAATTCCATTTAATTTAGCTGTTCATTAGGTGAGAGAGCAATATGCCTAATTTTAGGGAGTTTTGTTCAACTAATCTTAAGTTTTGGGTATTAAATGTTTCTCTCTAGTTTTTGTAGCTATTTCAATGAATGAATTGACCAAAAATTAGACTTTGAAGAATGTTTTACATTTAGGGAAAATATGATTCAATTTGATTTATAGATCAACTAATCAGGTTTGAAGTCAAGGGCAGAATGCATTTCTTTTTAAATTCTGATTATTTTTGTATGAAAATTGAATGGGAGATTTTTTTTTCCCTTTAAATTCTGTAATTTTTTAGATATAAAGTTTTAGTTTTGTTTGAAATTTTATTTTCAAAATACTTTGAGTAGGGATGCAGTTCTATAACACTTTTTTTTTTTAATTTTTTAGTGAACAAATGTAGGCGTGAGGATTCGAACTTTTAAACTCTAATTAGAAGTATGTCTTAAATTATACCTATTAATGTTAAACGTTAATGGGTTTGTTTAATCCATATACTTGACATGATTATTAAAATAGATAGAAATAAGGGCGGGGCTGGAGCAAGTATAGTAACGAAAGAAAACTTCAAAATCTTAGGCTACTTCTACTCATGTTTACATGTTTTGTTAGGATCAATTCTTTGAAAAAGTGTGTATACTATCTATAGATATAGATATATATAAGAATTTAAATGTGTTTTTAAGAAATGTGAAAAGCGCACCAATAAATTGTGAGAAATAAAGTATAATTTTAAAAAACAGAAAATTAAAAATAAAATAGTTATAAAAAATATATAGAAACAACGGTGGGAGCAAGTATAGATTAGAAAGTGCTTGATAACTATTTTGTATGTGTTTCTTTGAAAAAGTTTATATTTATTTATTTTTGAAACCTGGTTAAGAATTTTAGTCACTTTGAAAAACACATCAATAAATTGTGAGAAATAAAGTATAATTTTAAAAAACAGAAAATTAAAAATAAAATAGTTATCAAACGTTGTTTTAGTTTTTCTTACGACTGAAAAGAGCAGGACAATTCCTCCTATTTCTCGTTTTGAATAACAATTATTTTGCCATTAGTAACTTGGTCATATGAATTTGTGTCAATAGAACTACCTCACTTGGATATGGTAGCACACTCAAAAGAGCTCGCTCTAATAGATTTGGACAAATAACTTTGCTTGTTCATCCTCAACATTCAATAAAGTTCCTTCTCAACCAATGAATCTATCTACACATGTTCTTGTTCATCATAAACTCATAATTTCATCTTTATTATGACATTTGTGGGTCAAATTTTTGGTAGTACGAGAGTTATATATATGGATACTCCTTCCATTCATTGTTTGTCACGTCAGCATCGTATTAAGAATGATGTGGAGTCCACCAATATTAAAAAATTATTTATAAAGACAAAACTATAGTGTGAACATAGAGTATGATATTTCTGTAGTACTGAAATTTCTCCTACACTTACACTAGATGTAACTCTTCCTCACACGACAAAGAGTTCTATATGAATGAGAAATGAACGCGATATTTGGATGCAAGAGAGGCTAATCAACATACTAGGTTAATCGTTGGAGACAAGAAAGAATGAGTTAATCTAGTGTGACGAGCATGTCGTAACTTAATTATTCATTGATAGGGTACAAGGCATCGAGTTGCTAACTAAAGGCAAGCGTGTGACAATGTATTACATATCGTCCCAATTAGTAAGGCATGTTTGCTACAAAGCTTAACTAGCCATAAAATCTTTCGGAACGAGAAAACTAATAAAAACGCTATTCTATTACCGACTCTTGTTGTCGAATCAAAGTTCAACATTCATCTTTTGCTAACCGTACCATTAAAGTTTTGACAAGTAGGAGAGAGAAATGTAGAAGAAGATATAATTTTTTTTTCTATTTTTCAAAAAGGTAGAATCGTCAAAATTTTAGGTGGAACCAACGAACACATGTAAATATTCAATTTACTCCAAAAAGTCTCTCAAGACCTCTATGAGATGTGAATTAACGCAATTATATGGCAGTTTTCTTGCGTCCATTTGCCATCGATCACTTGATTTAAACATTGGATTTCTGGTTGAATAATCCTTTTTTTTTTTTTTTGTATTTTTCTTTGTTTTTATTTTTTAAAACCCAAGTTTAAGATACCTTTTTAGTCAATTTCGCTTAAGTTATAATATACACAATAGAAATTTCAATGAAATTTTGTTTTACCCTATCTTGACTCTTTCAAGGTACAATAACTTCTCAATCCTCTGGGAAATTCAAAAGTTAGAAATATTGTGAAAAAGAAACTATTATTATTTTCTAAAAATATATAATTCTATTTTAAACAATAAATTTTCATTTTATTCTACTTTCGACCTCTAAACTTTTAAAATGTCTTTAGAAAATAATTATTTTCAGTTATTATTGTGAATTGATGAACAAATAGATGGTATGACTCCAAATATTGTAGGTATACGAGTAAAAAAAGAAGTAAAAATTATATAATGAAAATTATTTCCCACTTTTAATCTCAGTAAATTTAATTGAAACTTCTGCCTCGAAGAAAAAAATAATTGAAATTTCCAATGAAAGTGTACCATTCTCTTGACCCTTTCAAGGTAAAATATTTTCTCAATCGCACATGGAAATTCAAAAGCATTGGATTAAATGTAGAAATATTATGGAAGCTAACTATTAAATTTAATGTCTATTTTAGCTCCAAGAATTTAGAAATAAAATAATTTTGGTCATTGTTATTCTCCCGACAGTCTTTTAAAACGATATAATTTCAAATATATGTACTAATGTATTGCATTAGACAAAAATTAGGAAAAATTTCCAATACTACGAGAGTTGGACACTAACTAATTTGAGCATAGCTGAACTGGTTAAAACATCTCTTTTCGGCCAAAGCGAACATAGCTCAACAGTAATTGACATATATTTTTAACCAAGAGATTGTAAATTCGATTCCCTACCCCAACATGTTGTATAAAATAAAATAAAAATTATTTCCGACCAAAGAATCGTGAGTTCGAATCTTTTCTCCAAATATAGACACTATTCTCATTCATTATAAAGACACTAACATCGTTTAAAAATAATGTGAGACCCAATGACATTAAAGAATCACTCCTACAGATAAAAATTATGGTGTAAACTAAGAGAATAAGTACTGTACTTTCGATAGCACTAGAAATTTTTTTCAAAAATTAATGACCAAATATTAACAAAGACCAAAATGTTCGTTCTATAAAGTTGAAAAGACCAAAATGAAATAAATCCAAAATGAAATTTAAGCGTTAAAATAAATTAAAAATTATATGATAGATTTGCGCGTGAGAAAGGGATAAAATGCGTGACGGATTTGTATTTGGCAAAAGCAAAAGAAAACTGAAATACCGAATTTGGGCACGCGTTTAAAGCCGCGGATTCAGATTGCGCGTCTACTGCGCGTTCCCCAATCTTTCCTTTTCTTAACCCAACATTCAAATTTTCAAATATAAAATTCTTAAATAAACTATTTTCATCCAAAATAAAATAAAAAAATTATCATTATTTATTTGCGATATATTCCATTATCGCCCCGCTATAATCGCTTTAGCATAAAAAAAAACTTATTAATGAACTATTGTGCTTCAGTAAAATTTGGTTGGAAATAAACCAGGTGTATTTCTATCTTATTTTTAAATTTATTTATGAAAACTCTAAGATCGAATTCATGAATATTCTAAAAACAACATTTTTTATCTTTTTAATTTTTCAGATTTTGAATTTGAAATTTCATTGTGTAATATTACATTAAGAAATAAAAGATTGTGATAAATATACTATTTATCATAAACTTACTTCATTTATGTCAAAATTAAAATATAATATATTACTTAACACTTGGAATAGTCTTTTTAGTTTGTAACAATCTAAAATATTTAGTTGAATTTAAAATATTATAATTAACTTATTAAAATATAATGTTATAAATTTTGTATAATTATTATTTTATAACATTATATAATTTATAATATATTACTTTTTGTTATTTTAATTTTAAGAAAAATATAATGAGTTTATAACCTACAATAATATATTTATCAAGGTTTTTTTTTATTTAAAATCTAAAAATACTAAAAATTTATTTGATTCACTAAATTTGAAAACAAGAAATAAAATTCGGATTACCTACCAAATAAGGGAGTGATTTTTATTTTTGATTCTTTGCTTCATTTTGTCCATATTTCACACATTTTTGTCCTTTGTAAAAATATAACTGGATTATTTACCAATCAAAAATTTAATAATTCAAAGATCTAATTATTATATTTATGCAACACTTAAAAGTACTTTAATTTTTTTAGTACAATATGTGAGGTGGAGATTCGAACTAACGACCTTCTGATTGGAGATAGTACCTTTAACTTGTAGAATTATGTTCGGGTTAAAAATATGCGGAGAGTTAAAACATTAGATTATAACATAAATGTCTTAACCACTTTTATACGTAAAAAGACAGCAGTGTGTTGATATTTCCATCCTACCAAACAAAAATATAAAAAAAAATGTCAACAAAAATACCTTGATATTAATAATAAGAAATTTTGACTAATTAAAAAATGATAAAAATCATTATTTATTAATTTAAGATTTTTTTAATGAATTTCTTCCTTTTTTTAATTTTTAGAAAAACATTAATTGATGTAAAACCTTTGTGTCAACGCAGTTGAACTTGTTAAAGTATATATCCCACTAAAAAAAATTGTGAAGCCTAATTCCACCCAATATTAAAAAAGAAAAAAAAAACATTTAAAACCTTTATTAGAATATGAGAAATAACCATTCTACAATAGTGTGGCATATGATGCAAATTTCCTATCATAGAAATTTAGTCGTACAATTTAGCATATGATGCCGTCTTATGAAAAATGAGCCACATTACCCTTGTTATATAAGTAGTTTAGGGTGTGTTTTGGAGTGATGGTAAAATGGATGACTTTGAAAAAAGAGATTTAAAAATAATTGATTTTTTGAAAATAAGTTTAAAGTGATTTTAAGCCTTCCTAAGATCAATTTTCTAATTTGCCAAACATGATCTATTGATAATAACTAGGAACCATAAATCTTGAATCTTAAATCCACCATAATCTATGAGGTTGTTGCAATTATGTTTCTTCACGCCATTGAAATTGTTGCAACTAAGCTCGATCATCAATAAAATTATAGTTTCAATTTCTAAACTTTTAAAGTTGTGCCTAATAAGATGGAAAAAAGTGGGGGAGGGGAGTGGTCAGTGGTCAACTCCTTTCCTCTCCGTGAAAGGTTGACTGAGTTCTTAGGAGATGTTCCTCTTTGCTTTGTTCTAGTTCTTCTGAGGTTTTTTTCAAGAAGTAAGTAGCATAGATCCAGATATAATAAATGACCTCTCTTATTGTTGTGGAGTCAATTTATGGGGAGAATCCTTATTTTCTACTGGTTTATGTGATGGTGAATGGTGGTCGGGTGTCGGGAATCTTCCCGTTTGATGCTAACAGTGTTGTTGAGGCCGACAAAATTAAAGACAACATTGTTATGTATGGTTCGTGGCTTCATCATCAGGGTATTTTGAAGAGTTGTGAGACTCAAAATTGGAGAGGACAACCACTTGTGATTTATTGGGGTGACTCTTAATCTTTGTTGCATCCTTGTTAAAAAAACTTCCATGGTCTAGAGGGAATAATGACGGAGCAAAAGGTGGGCGACGACGCAGGTGCGACAACGATTGACCCAAACACCATTTTAGAATTTGTTGAGGCTATCAATCTATATTATTGTATTGAGAATCACCAGCATGATTCGACGAATTTTTCTAATCCTTCGTTACCTGTCATGGTGGAGAATATTAATACAATTTTGCAGGCAATTATTTCACTTCCAATTCTAAAAAGAGGTGTCATAATTGACAAGATCCCTCAATTAGTTGAGGATTCTCTCCCGACGTCATTGAATGAGGATAATTATTTTCCTTCGTGGTTGTGGTGTGTGATCACCCCTCTTCTGATGTAATATATATATATAAAGAAAAAAAAAACTCGATCACTGGTGAAATAATAAAATTAGTGTCTAGTTACAACAGTTCTGTAACTTTAA